CACTGGGTAAGTCGAACGCTTCTTCGAGCTTTCTCGGTGAAGACATCTTTCTTTACTGGAACAACAAGACACTTCAGTGCGGAACAAAATAATGCTTTTAGTAGATAAGCAAAGCTACCATAAACAATGGATTCCGTTAATCATTTCATTTTCCGGGAACGATGAATGATTTATTACTGAGTGGCCACACAACCCGTAACGTATGTCTCAACATAACAACAAACGCGATTAAGCTTGCTAAAAGAAAATTCTGTTTTTCATCACAGAGTAGAGGACTTCCTCAAAGTGCTTCTGCACACTTTGAGCAGATTGTTCGTAAGGCAATTTGCGCCTAACTCTTAAAACCTAAGCGGCATGGTCTTGATTTATTTTGTAAAAAAAAAAAAAAAAAAAAAAAAAAAAAGAACAGTATAGCTAACATATGTTGTTAACTTTTATTTTGGGATATTAGGATGTTTTTCTTTACATATATCTTCTGCATAGCTGTACCAGAGGCATAAAGGAGAAGAAAAAGTATGATTTACGTTTTGGACGCGGACAGCTCAATTCTGCGTGTAGAGCTCAGTTATTTAATTTAGAAATAGCTTCGGGCAGGACGAATAGTCTCAGGTAAAATAGCGTGAACCCTGCTGCTTTAACTCTGCGTGAGCTCCCGTCATGGTGGATTTGAAGGCACCGTTGTATGACCCTTGTACGACCCTTGTACGACCCTTGTACGACCCTTGTACGACCCTTGTACGACCCTTGTACGACCCTTGTATGACCCTTGTATGACCCTTGTATGAATTACAAGGATTATAGTTTTAGTGACCTTTTCCATAGCCATTAACTTCTGCTCTGTAAGAGAAAAAGGAAAGAAAATCTTCCGTACATGGCAAACGCGAAACAGGTTTCATTTACGTGGAAACGGCAAAACGCGACCGGCAAACGTGAAAAATGGCGGAAAACAGGGTCACGTGGTCACTCTACCGTTTATGTTTCACGTAAACGCGGTGCTAAATCTCTCTAATGTTAATAGGCCACCGTGGAGATGTCCTAAAACTGGCGTTTCGAGTTTTCTCTGACGAAGGGCTACCAGAAACGTCATCTTAAAAATATCTTAGCGGTTCACAATCCAAATTAACAACAAAGTTGTGGGAACCAAAGCTAACCGGCGTGGCAGAGTTTGGCAATTCCTGTAATACACGCAATGTGACAGCGAAAAATGTAAAAGCGCAATGTAGCAATCCGCCGAGAATGCTTCACAAGTCGTGAGAGCATTATTTGGATTTCATGTGCGAGAATATAAAAGAAACAGCACCCCTTCCCCCTCCAACTCCTGGTTATATACCTTTCCAATATTTCAAAATAAAGCACGAATACATTCAGTAGCTGTGGTAAATACAGGGTGCCGGGGCCTCAAAGAAAGGGAAGAAGTACAGGTGATGTTATAACGGAAAGAAAGGTATGGGAAAGAATCTCTGTTTGATGTTATTTATTAGTAGTATAATTTCAGAGCTTAGCAAAGAGTTTCCAGAAATCTAATTGGTCGAGCGGTTCCTTATATGACGCTTTATTGTATGGTTGTGTCTCACAAGGACTGGGAACTAACGAATTCACGAATTTGATTGGCTGAAATCAATATCGAAAGCAGTCTAGATTTTCCCATCTAGACCGATATCTAGACCGGTCTAGAAAAAAAAGGTACAAAGAATATAAAAAATTGGCATATGAGACAGCCTTATAATAAACATCTTATTAACCGAGCTAGGTCAGTCTGTATGGGAGAATCTTGACCGAGGTCAAGATTCTCCCACACAGACCTCCCGCTCGGTTAATAAGGAGTAAATATAAACCGCTCCGCGCGGTTTATATAAAATGTTAAAATAAAATGTTAAAAAATGTTACTAAAATGTTATGATTTTAGAAATTTCTCTGTTGTTCAGCTCTGAAATTATACTAAAACAATTATTCGCCTCAGGTTCGGTGAATATCGTCGAATAATCCCCTCGACTTCGTCTCGGGGATTATTCGACAACATTTACCTCGCCTTCAGCGAATAATTGTTAAATATCAATAGTTCTATTTAGCCTATATAAGATTCACAAACATATGAATTTGATCAGAGCCACGAACATGTATAGGCGCACGCCCTCATCTAAGCTAAAGACAACGGGAAGGTCTCAATAACCAGTATTTAATAGTCGTTCGAATAAAGATACAGTGATACATCAAACTAAAGAAACGCGCATTTACATATTTTCTAAGAATATTTTTCTACAGTTTTTTTTTGTTTCTGTGTCTCAAGTCGAAAGGACTTGAGCAACTGTAGAAAAGAAATTAACGAGAAGCTACAGTTTACAAACCAGTCTCGGTTTAGGCGAGGCAAAACTCGTTTTGCGTCTATCACTCAAAATTTTACATTAACCTCAACCTGAAGTACTTACTTCCTGTTAAAAAAGTGTCAGCAGTTTTTCCCGATGAGCATTGTTAAGTGTTGTTCAATTTTGAGGAGCAGTTGTTGGAACTTGGTGCATTGACAATTTACTCTTAAATTTAGGTCCTTACTCAAAATTCTGGCAGTAATTTAACCAACTAGCCATCAGTTGCCGAGATAGGATTACAAAAACATTAAAATATGGTTAACTTTACGACAGTCTCAGAGCATACTGCGAAAAATTGCAAAGTCACAATTCTAGAACCCAAACACTTCCATTTCACTCACCCCGAAGTTCTGACCTGCTAGGAAAGAGTTTGTGCTCTGACCTGATGGGCACTGATAACAGGTCAGGTTTGAGCTGCAGTTGTTAGAGTTGGGTGCATTGACGATGCAAAGATCTTGTCCATTATATCCAAACAGTGGCCCATAGCTGCCGTTACAAACGATAGCATGATCTTCTTTTCCAGCTAATAAAGGAAGCTTTGTTGGCGGCAGACCACTTGTGTTGACAAGAGTGAACAGGTACGAGTTCGGCGCTCTTCGATGACCCATGTTAGATCCTATTAAACAAGCGCATTCAATCGATTGAATTTAAAGCCACGTGTACCAGACAAATACGATGGAGTACGTCACGGATTCTTTTATTCTAATTTAAAAGTGCATTGATCAAAAATCGGTCTGAGTATGTTGATTTCAGGTTTTTTTTTGTTTCAACAGAAGGCATCTCATCGTGTCTTCACATCTGCGTCTTAACCTTCGGAACTTTCAAGAAGGTATGTATTACTCTCAATGTGAATTTTTACAATGTAATTGAAACAATTATAGTCGAACATCGAGAATTGATTGTTCACTTGTAAAGATTC